ATCTACAATTAAACGACCCTCGATTGTCGTACATGCGCACCTACCTCCTCCCTCGGCGCAAGCATCTTGCGCATTAATACCAACTGCACAATATATTAAAAATGCAAAAACTAAAATGTGTTTCATATCTTAGACACGCTACTAGCCACTCCAGTAAATATCAGTTTGCTCTTGTAGGCATACAAGTAATTTAAAAAGAAGTTCGGTGCGGAAGATGGGTGTGCGCAGACCTTCTATCGTTCTGCGAGTTGACAACGTGCACGTGAAAATTTCAAAATGTTGGTTACAGTAATGTCCGAATAAACTATCTGCAAAAGAACAAAAAAAGTACAATATTTTAAGTTTTCATATAAAATACATACACTTTTATTGTTATTAATTATAAATGTATAATTTGAATGTATTTCTAATTAAATATAATTATTTATGTACAAAAGAAAATTTGCAGTAACGTTTAAGACTGAGACACATTGCTTGAATTGTCAGTAGGAGCTGTCTCTTATACACATCTAGATGTGTATAAGAGACAGACTTAAGTCTTATCTACATGTACAATTCTTAACTGTCCTATTGGTCAACTTAAAACTTGTGGTGATCGATTATTGCAATGTAAATGTGATGGTGACCACTGCTTGTGTGCCTTTTATTATTAAGATCTTTGTATGTCTGGTTTCTATTTAATGTTTTCTAAATCCAGTTTCCAAGTTGCTAAACTAATAATAATTCACTAATAAAATGCATTCGTCATTGGTATAACAGACAAAAAAACTTTAGAGAACCATATTAGATATTATCTAAACTTTATCTAAAACAATGAAAATTCCACTTACATTTGAAGTAAATCCGGAAGGTTTGCAAATGCATCCTCTGGGAGTGTTTGAATGTTATTATTATGCATAAGTCTGTAAACAATTTGAAAAAAATAGGATATATGTATGCATTGCGTATGAGTAAGATAGCTGTTTTAAACATTTTATTTCTTGAATTTATTTATATATTTATTTATTTTTTTTGTAGTTTTATCGCTAAATTTTAATATCACTGAACATTATCTAAAATACACAGAATATTGTAGAAAGTTTGTAAATGTATTTACCCGTGCCATGGCAAACACTAAACGATAACAATAGCAAACGATTTGAATCCGCGGTTGGGTTAAGTCAGAAAGTAACGTTAACACAATGTTACAGCAACCTTTCCAACGATATTTAGTCTGTAATTATGTTATCGAGAAGTATTTATAATTTTGCAAAAAAAAAACAAAAAAAAAAAACCGTTTGAACACCAAATTGCCACGTCTAACGCTAGTGTAACGTAACATTGCTAGATAATGTAGAGTAACTCAATGTTTTAATAAAAAGAGGAAAGATTCCATACTTACAGAGTTTGAGTATTATTTGGGATTCCATGTGGTAAACTTGACAAGGACAACCCAGAGCAATCTACAATTAAACGACCCTCGATTGTCGTACATGCGCACCTACCTCCTCCCTCGGCGCAAGCATCTTGCGCATTAATACCAACTGCACAATATATTAAAAATGCAAAAACTAAAATGTGTTTCATATCTTAGACACGCTACTAGCCACTCCAGTAAATATCAGTTTGCTCTTGTAGGCATACAAGTAATTTAAAAAGAAGTTCGGTGCGGAAGATGGGTGTGCGCAGACCTTCTATCGTTCTGCGAGTTGACAACGTGCACGTGAAAATTTCAAAATGTTGGTTACAGTAATGTCCGAATAAACTATCTGCAAAAGAGCAAAAAAAGTACAATATTTTAAGTTTTCATATAAAATACACACACTGTTATTGTTATAAATTAAAAATGTATAATTTGAATGTATTTCTAATTAAATATAATTATTTATGTACAAAAGAAAATTTGCAGTAACGTTTAAGACTGAGACACATTGCTTGAATTGTCAGTAGGAGAATAATGTGGAAAGTCCAGACAGAGACACTTATATAACCGGAAAGTATGGATTGTTGCTGATTGGTGGCAAACAAAACAATAACTGAGACTATATCTATGCAGATACAGGTCTTTCTCCAATTAAAGACGACCTCCAATTAAAGACCACTTTGCTGTGGTCTCAAATTAAGAAATGTCTTTCATCTTTATTATTCTAATCAGAGACCAAAGCTGCCAAAAGACCATGGAAACCTCTGTCCCAATAATGGTCTTTAAATGGAGGGAAACTTAAATTATATTTTCCTGATGACCATTGAAGCAACTCAATCGAAACTCAACTCATTCTCTTTTTTTTTTCAAAACTATCTTACTGCAAGCATTCAATATATAAGATTATTAATAATATTATATAATCCATTGGTTTATTAACGATTAAAACAGTTTTACAATAGTAATATTATATGTTTTAATTGTAATCATACCACCAATAATATGTTCACACATATTAATAATCTACGAGTGAATCTTTCCTAGACTATCATTTTTTTTAATTTTCACCTCTCATGTTATAGGGCCTACTACCTGTCTGCTTTACCGACCTACCTGAGCTTGAAAAACTCTTTGTAGAAACAAAATCGCCTGATATAACTCATAAGCGTTATGAATCATACTTACTTTGATAAAATAACTGAATGCGTCATTACATCATAACCAAATTGTTTAGAATACCATGAAATCGATACAACACACGACACTGTTTGTTAGAAATCCTAGTTCAGTTAACCGATGATTATATATCGACGAACTAGTTTTTCGAAGCTATTGGGCCTACGCACAGCAATTAACTTCGAACGCAACAATATAATAGAGGGCGGATAAATGTTATAAGTATTGAAATTGATAAGACGGGGACGGTTCGCTATGGGAGAATAATTAAAGTATATGAGCCGACGCTGAGGAAATGAAAGGATTTTATCTGGAGCACTCTCACACGTGTTGTTAACAATATGAACAAATCAATATTTTAAATTCTGTCATTGTTTTGAAATAGGCCTATGGTCCTGGTTATAATGTGCGCCTAACATAGGGAAAATACAGTCGGTGTAGATCTGGGAAAGGCCCTTGCCCTCTGAGTAGATCAACAAGGACGGCAGTGGTCAGACACAGGCCTACTGGTCATTTTAATCGCAGCAGCCTCTAATGCATCTGAACACATTCGGAACGATATAAAACTGGTGAATTTTCAGTTTAAAAAACAGAATTTACGTTGAACGCACTTTACTAAATATGTGAAAAATAAAGCAATTCATTAACATTAACCTTTTTCGCACTTTGCCTAATTCACGCTTTGTCTGTATTATATAGCCATACGTAGTTCACGTAATTTATACACCTTACGCACACGAAATTTACGCAATTTAGCTACGTACATTATTAGGTATTTTACACAATGTATGTATTTTAACATAAAACAGCACCATCCATCACCAAACGGTAAACACTAATATACATGGCAAAAGGAAGCACAATACAGTTAAATGAAATATGTACACAGCAAATACAAGCACGGTACGAAACTTTTAAGTACGGTACGGTAAATTGCCTGCATCACACGAGAGAAATACTTTATATTTAAGGCCTATAATGCGGAACAATGTCTGCGTTTAAAAAATCTTAATTTCGAACGTATGTTTATAACTTTTTAAATATTCCTATAAAATTAATCACTTCTTGGCCCTAAGTATGTATCTTCAAAATTTAAAATATAATATATTATCTAATTCAAAAGATTACATAATGGTACGATATGGGCCTAATAGGCCCTGTGCGAATGACAGAATGGTCTTATCAGGAAACAGTTCCCTGGTCTTATTAGCATATAGGCCGTATTACACTTTTTTTTTTATTTATAAGAACACATTTTATAAGAACACTGAGGCTAAAATTGCTTAAAAATTAAGAACAAAATAAGAACAAATTGAGGCTGAGGTAAAAGAGGTCAAATGAGGTTTTTGAAAAACCAAAAAATTATATCTGTACCTTATGTGCAGTAATGTAGGTTTGACCATACCTCCTATAATCATGGTGTACTGTCATTTGGGGCCATTTTTACCAGGCCTTTTTTCTGGGGCAATTTTTCAGGGCCCATTTTTGCTGTACAATAATAATTTTCTATGTTTGAAAAGTGTGTAAAATATAAACAAATTAAGAACATTTTGAGCCTGAAATCGGCCAAAGAATAAGAACACTAAGCCTGGCCAAAATTTTAATGGTTCTTATAAAAAAAATGTAGGTAAAGTAAAGTATATACATTAAAGACAATGTTTTAAATTTTATTTTCAATGGTGTATCACACAGATTATTTAAATCTCGTGATTGCCGAAAATCGCTGATGAAAGATCATGAGAAATTTGTTGGCGCTTCATTTTGACTATAATGGCAATGTAATGATCATGAATTTTACTATATAAGAGTGTCATTTCCGGCTATCTAGAGATACTATTGCCTCAAATTTTCGTCTCATGGAATGCCCTCCCCCCTGTCTCTTATACACATCTAGATGTGTATAAGAGACAGCTATTGTACAAGCCGCTCCCTCGTGTTACGATGTTGTTTTTGTTGATACCGAAACGCGGTTGGTCGTTCAACTCCACTGTGTGGGAAACAGCAGTTAAATACTGTACTCCTGTATTTACTCAGTCCAATAATTGCTTTATGGTACTGTACTGTAGCCTACACACACATTACACTATTGGTTATAGAGTCTCCTAATTACTAGACAATGAACATGCCTTTATCTACAGTTTTCATTCAAAATTCGAATGGTTAAATGCAAGTTAGCTTACCTGCTACTCCATGGAGGTCACCTCAGATTAGCCACACAACTGTACTACCATGATTGTTATTGATCTGTGCGTGCGATGTCATAGTACTATACCTGTCTCTTATACACATCTTTGTATTTTGAGACGAATAAATGAAATGAAATTAAATGAAAAAGCACATTGGTATCAGTGGTGGATCCAGGAATTTGATATATAGAGGGGGCCCAGCGAAGAGCTTTCACAAAATAGGGGGTAAATACTAAATACTGGTTCAGCCCCACTATGTTTATGGCGAAAATTTATGATTATGGCATCTCAAGATAGCCGGAAATGATTGATTGATTGATTGAACTTATTTGGTTCAAATACAAAATACAATAAAATGCAAAAGAACAACAATCTCAAAACACAATAAAAACATATCATAAAAACAGATGACGTCATTCATTAGAGACAAGAGAACGAAATGAACCAAGGATAATTAAATAACGTTTTACATAATTAGTGAAACTTATTTCCACCTACTGTATAAGTCCTTTTGACGATTAAACAGAGACATTTTTCTTTCTCCAATGTTTTTTCTTGAAAATTCAGAGGACCCGGGCCTGGCTGACACCACCCCCACCTCCATGAATCCGCCACTGGGTATCATTAATTAGTTAGAAAATTGGTTATAAAATTTGTAATCAAAGAGCAATATTGATAACCTGCAACCCCAGCTAACAATTTTACATTATAAAAAATTTAAATAACAGTTTGGTGTACAGTAGAAAACACTATCTTGAAGAACCATAAATACTGTACATATTTAGAGCGTAATTTCACAATTAAATATGTTTAAACGTTGTGTCAACATTATTTTGTGATATACCTATTCATAATATTTGTGAACTTTGTAATAGCATTTTGTGTTTGCTGCGGTTTAACTGCAAAAAAAAAATTCTGATCTGTCAATGACTGCAATCTCTTCCTCCCTTTGATATAATTTTCAATAGCTGCCCCCCCCCCACCATTTGCTTAATTCAAAACCATTATTTATTCTAACAATTTAATTTTTCTAATTTCAACAACTGTCTAAAAATGCACTATCGATATTATTCAAAGAGATCTGTAGTACTCAAACTATTTGTA